TGGGAGGGGTGGGGCTGGGTGGAGAGGGGAGGGTGGGGAGGGGCTGGGTGGGGAGGGTGGGGAGGGGCTGGGTGGGGAGGGGAGGGTCGGATAGGGCTGGGTGGGGAGGGTGGGGCTGGGTGGGGGGTGTGAGGGGTGGGGCTGGGTGGGGAGGAACTGGTCACCCCGTGGTGCCCTTATAAAACTCAACGTTTAACCTACTCACGCCGGCTTGTGCCCACCCTCAAAGTCGGGCATATTTGCGGAATACACCACGCCGCCGTTGACCCTGGCCATTGACCGAGCAACCCAACGTTCCTACCAGTTCCCTCCGCAGGAATGTGTTAAAGGCTCCCATAGGCTTCAGTGTCAACGGCTCCCGTAGACTTCAATGTTAAACATAAACATTTTCAGGAACATTGAAAACGTATCTCGAGACTTTGTGAGGCTTCCAAGAAGTACAGTACTGCAACTGGCATTGCACATATCCAGCACTTTGTGATTCCACTGCTGGATGAAGGCCTCCCCCGTTGATATTGGCATCAAGATGTGAAAAGTCAACGAGTTACAAAAAACAGCACGTGATCAGATGCGAGCGTCCAGGCGAGGTCCTACTGGATGAGTTCCCAGCCACCGCGGGGAATTTTTACTTCTTCATGCCACAGCTTTTAAACCATTACACGCACAACGGAAAAGACCCAGGAATGCTTTACGAGTTAGTAAAAAGGCACATTTATTCCTACGGTAAATGTTATGTACAGACAAGACTGGTGGTGGTGGTGGTGCAGATGAAGGTGCGTTCAATAACTTTTCAAGTTTTTGTACACCGATTTTTTCTTTTCTTTTTACGAAATGTAAAACGTTCTGAACACCACATAGCCACGTCGCCTAACAAGGGCTAATGTGGGCAGCTACGGTCGTAAAACATTTAAACTAAACATGTTTCACATGTCAGACCTCCTGTAAGATGCGATGCCCCAAGTGGACATAGCCTCACGTCTCATGGATGATCTAAAAACCAGCTTCATCGAACACTTTACATGAAAAGAATTGTCCCTTTGATCACACCGACTTACACTCAAAACTATGGCAAATTTGTACTCGTTTCTGGGATAGAAGTAATGGATGGAGAGAGATAGTGTTTACGAGACACTTTAGTCCGAAGCTAAAGCATCAAACCGCACAATTTAGTCTTAAATCTTAAAAACTAAACGTTTTATTTTACCAGGCAAGGCCTGCTGAGCCTATGTAGCTCTTTTTCAGAAGCGACCTGGCCACAAATGACAGCTCAACGTAATGGCTTATCATGCGGACATTTATAGCAGCCCAATACTCTTTGTATTGGGCTGCGATATTGGATGCAACATTCCAAGTTAATGACCAGCAACGCATTCAAAATTCGTCTTTCATTTAAGAAGACACCCAGATTTTCCAATCAAATGAATTTCGTCAGAGTCCCATTTAGTCAGAATATAAATCGAACCTCTGCCAGTAAGAGTCCACAAGCCCTAGACATCACAACACTTCTCTCGTTTTAAACATGACCGTTTTGATTTCGATGTAAAGCTTTCGTGACTGCAGGGATTCATCTTATTGGTTCTTTCGGTAAAGTCACGTAGAAGGGAAATAATAAAATAATAAAAACAAAACAATAAAATAGACATTCAGACGCTGTCTTTCTGACAGACCTGTTCTTCATCTGAGGACGGCTGCTTGCGTTGTGGCCGAAACGTCGTGAGAATTATTTTATTATGTTGTATTTTTATTTATTTTATTATTCCCCTTCTACGTGACTTTACCGAAAGAACCATGAAGATGACCGTTTTGCTTTCTTGTAACCAACCCCGTTGGGCTGCGGGGCACGCAACGTGCAGTCAGGAGGAATAGCGAACGAGTTCCATTTGAAAATTTGCCGTAGTTTTTCCTACCCAAGGTGTTTCAGGAGACACCAAGGTGTACCCAAATAAAAAACACACAAACAGGTCACGTGCGCAGCCACAAAGTTGCACCCAGCGATACAGCCACGCTCCTCCCGAGAGCGGAGCAGCATCTGTAGGTCACATTTACACGCGTCCAATTGTGCTGCATGAGAAGCAAATTTCATTGATTCCTAAGCCGGGTTGCTTGAAAACTTGAGCGAACATCTCCCTTATTCTCCTATCTAAATAGATGTCCTTTCAGGGGAAATCTTCAAGTTCGTTTTACAACCCAAATGAGACCACTGCTGCTGTCACCGCAAATTCCAAGTGCTATGTTCACCACTTATTACCACCATCATCATCAGCCATATCCAATGTAGAATGAAGGCATCCTCCCAAGCCGTCACCCTCTCTCATGATCCTGCAATGCAACAACTCCATGCAGCACAAGGCGATTTCATCGCTACACCTCGGCGGCGTACGGCTGCATGGGCGTACAGTCAAGACTTTTTTGTAACATATAAAATGCATTCTCAAATGTAATCTTGAAGCCAAATCGTGACAATTCAGGGAGTTGGGGTGGGGGGAGTTAAGGTCTAACGAGAGCGGTATCCTAAGAATCGTTCAACTACCAAATCTAGTCAGAGCGGCTGTGGCAGTCCACAGTGGAGTGACTCATGCAGCCAGCTATGGCTGCAGGGTTTTGGTGGTACGTGTTGTTTATGTCGTTTATTGTGAAAATTCCGTCACAGTTCCTATGATCACTGTTTTATTGATTTCATGGCTTTATTTTTGGTGATTTCGAAAAGTGTATTGGTTTAGCCATGTTTGTTTGTTGTAGTACAGAGTTAGCCTTAATCTAAGTTGTCTTGTGGTTGTTGTTTGACTTGCATCCCACTGGGATTTTTGCACACAGCGTTGGTGTACGGTGTTTTTTTCTGCAATATTTTGCTGTCTTTTCTTGGATTTTCTATTTGCACTCAGTCACATATTCACTTTAAGATGTTTTTGTTCATGTTTTTGTTTGTTGCGGTTGCTCCCGATTCAAGAGCCGAATGGCTCACAGGGCTATACCTAATAAATGAACTTGAACATCGCTGGGTACACTTTGTAATGCACATTAACAGGGTTCACTTTGTGATAAGGCGCATGGCTAATTATGCACAAAGAGACCAATTCGTGTGTTGGGGGAGGGAGGGAGGGAGGTAAGTTTCCACCAAAATTTGGCCTGGGTCCCGACCGAACCCACAATGCTATCATGCAAATCTAGGCCTTTTTTCCGAAGAAAAAAATGGTGTTAACAGAATTGGTGGAAACTCTCCGTTTACACCAACGCAGGAACGGCACCGTCGATGCTTATATACTCCGGAGCACCTGTGCATCGCACGTGGTGACGTATTGCGAAGGTACACCAACGTATTGCGACGTTACTCATTCATTCGTGTATTGGTCCGTGCAATCACGTTTCACCGTTTATGTTCATATAGGTAATTACGTACGCATTTAAGTACTGTATGTGCAGTATTAGGTATGTGTTTAATCAATGCAAAAATACTGAAATAAACAAGGCCTTTGCAGCATTAGGTTCATGATCAGCACATCACTAATCCAACATTTGCGTATATAGTTTGCATTATATATTTTTTAATACATTTTCGACCCTTAATCACCAGAACGGTTAGTAGACACGCAAAAAAAATACACATAACATGATCCGTGAAGAACCGTGCTCAGGCACTCTCTCAACAATGGCAGTGGCGGTGCTGGGATGACGAGATGCAAATGCTTACATGGTCATGCCCAAAAGTTGGCCATGCCCAAAAGTTGGCCATGCCCAAAAGTTGGCCATGCCCAAAAGTTGGCCATGCCGTCACCCTCCGTGCCCTCCTGACCAGGCTAACGAGCGAAAGCCAATGCACGACACCAACAGTTCGCTCACCGCGAGACATCGCGGCTCGCGCCCCGATGATCGATTATCCGCTCCTCCGCGGCGGAGCAAGTCGGCGTGGAGCGGAAACGACTCGCGAAACGTTGCGGGTAACGTGCGTCGGAGGAAAAAAAAACTCTCTCATCTTCTTCTTCTCCCTTCACCCCCTCCCCACCCCCTCCACACGCAGCGTTTGTTCACATTTATCTTGAAGTGTCACGATGGGCGACGGGTGTCTTTTAAAAATGTTAATGTACGTATGGTGAACTTCTTCCGCACCCCGTACGTAGCCAGCCGTGCTAAATCGGAGGTGCGGCGAAGGACAATAAACTAAACGTTAAACCTCGCTGAGACGCAACGATTGGCGAGCTTAGTTCCGAGTCGGTTCGTGCGAGCCGTTCCCGGCACAAGGACTGGTGGTGACCGAGGGCCCTTGTGGGCTCCCGCGTCACCCCTCTGAACCTACGCCGCCGGCCGGCACGGCGCACTGAAGAGCGCCCAGGGGCTGGCGTTTCGCTCAGGAGGCTCAGAATTTTGCCGACAAGCCGAGCGCTGACGGTGTCGACGATGGGCTACGTCTGCGACGAATGGGATGGCGCGATTGTACATGCGGTGGAAATAACAAAAAGGTAAAACACGTATTTTTTCACAACATAATAAAAACAATGAACGGATATCACTTTACAAATATAGCATGGTATGAAAAATACAAAAATTGTAACTTGCGATAAAAAATACAAACCCCCCCCTCCCCCAATAATAAACGTGTATCAAAATGTATGTACAAATGGTGGTGGTGGTGGTGGCGGCAGGTATCGTTGCGGCGATCGTTCCCGCAAGGAATGCGACTGCGTAACCTTCTCACAGGAACTTGGGGGACACGGGTCGCGGTGACGGCGGCGGACGATGATGAGTTTGCTCCTTCCCAAGCTCACATTATAAATGCAAAACATCCGAAAGAAAACGTCTAAACCCACCTTCTCACAAAATGAATGTCATCTCGTAAATCTGCACGTAATAATGCATTCGGGCGTCAGGTTTCAGGCACATTGTTATATTAACGTCGTCACCAACGCAACCTGGGGGGGGTGTCTAGATACTGCTTGCCCCACACCCCGATCTCCCACCTCGTTCCCCCCCCTGCCCCAAACCCTCCCCCCACCCCCACCCCGAGCTGGTGTCTTCACGTGCTGCCCTACAGCAGCAGCAAGTCGTGGAATTTCGTTCCTTCCTGGGATTTCAGGATGGTGGTCCCTTGGTGGCAGTGGGGCTGGTTAGGGTCGCTGTTGCTGCTGCAGTGCTTGAAGCCAGGCCTTTGACTGGGGACCTGCAGGGCGAACATGGACTGGGTTCAATGTCGCGTCCACGCGCGCCTCCAAACGTAAAATTGCTCAACAATTCGCAAGTAATGCATCAGCGATGAGGGTGCACGAATCGTAAACAAAAACACGCGCGCTGTCCGCTTCGACGTGGAAGTTCACTGTCTAAGTGGGTAAGTCTGAGCGTTTATCGTCGCGTACTCCTACGAGTCTAGCGCGTCACGAATACGCACGACGTTATTCGAAGAAGAGCGGGCCACGTGTGGCCGGCCGCCATGGTCCAAATTTGCCACATTTGAACGTTTACAAATTTAAAAAAACTATTTTTTATTTTACCAGGTAAGGTCCACTGAGCTATGTAGCTCTTTTTCAGAAGTGACCCGGCCACAAATAATAGCTCAACGAAGTGGCTTATCACGTGGAAATGTATTGCAGCCAAATACTCTAATCGCATGTTTCTAAATGGGAAAGGAAAAAACGGAGGACCCGGTGAAAAAAACCACGCGACCACAGGGAGAACGTGCAAACTCCAAATATACAGGCGTCAAGAGTCGAGATCGAACCCACGGTTTGCTGTATATACCAGGCGAGATAGTTAACATCTCGCAACCTTTGGTATAGAAACACAGAGGACGGTAAAAATGTGACCGTAAAGAAACCGATTGTGGAACGCGGTGGGGGGCGGCATGACGACGAATGGTCGTGTCACGCAATCAGCAGTGCCAGCGCCAAACACGCACCCCACGGGGCGATCGACGTCACATGTGGGCGAGGCTGGCGGGGTCCCCCAGGCCCACGAGCCCCAGGAGAGCCGACTCGACCGACGCGGCCATCGCCTTGTCTTCCTCACGCTGCTTCAGCGACGCCGACTTGGGGTTCAGGTTGCGCTCTAAACGTCGCGGCGACAACGGCGACGACAAAGAGGTCGTTAGCGTGGGGGCCGCCCTAAGGCGCAGCGGGACAAAAGGCATACGACGCGTTTGTCAACGTGGAAGGGTGCGACGATTCGATGGGCCTGGACGGTGCTATGATGGGTGTGTGACCACGCAAGGCAGGTTGTGAATGGCAAGCTACGCTGTGGGCAGCAGAGGGCAAGTGCAGCAAAATCCATTGTTGAACAAAATCCACCGCGCTTTCAGGCTCTTGGCGACTTTGCTCCCTGCCTTCACCAACCGACGTTGACCGGCATGGGGAAGCATGAACAAATAACTCCCACAATCCCAACGGCGTAGATTAACGAAGGGCTGTATTATGAGGAGGATTTTGAAAATAGGGTAAAGGTCAAATTCTCAGTACGGTGGGAATCTGCACCACTGCCCGGATCCAAAACATGGCATGGGAAAGAGATTAATTTATTCCAGGCTAATGGCTCAACAAATTCGGGGATTATTCATTGATCGTGACCACAGATGGCGTTAGGTCATTGGCAGCGTGAGCTGGGAGCACAGGCCTCACCTGGGAGCAAAGGCCCACAATATTACGTGGCCTTTGGGCCTATTTTTAACTGATACAGAGAAGAGTTAATTAACTTCGTGAATTGAGCAGTGTTATAAGAACTTGCGCAAATATATTTTGGGAAGAAAATCCTAAGTGGAGCAGTGCAAAGGATGATGGAGCAAGATACGTTTTTTTGACCTCGAGTGTCGCGGTTAAACCAAGTGCAGATGAGACGGAAGAGTCATTCTGTACAGATGGGAGGAGTAATGACATGCACAGGTACAGTCACCATGCAAGAAGCAATGGAACAGCGATGGAGAAGTGACTGACAGACAGAGCCAGGCGCGTGCGAGCGGCGAAAGCCGGCGCCGGGCGCGCCACCGTACTTACCGCGCACTTGCGATTCGAGGCTGGTGATGACCATGACGGCTTGCTGCAGGATGCCGAGCTTGGTGGGCGCCTTGTCGGAGCGGAGGTACGTCTGGCACAGGCGGCCCAGCTCCTTGAAGGCCTCGTTGATGTCGCGCACGCGGATCCGCTCGCGCGCGTTGTTGGCCAAGCGCCGCTCGCGGTCCTTCACCTCGCGCTCCTCGGGGGGCAGGTCCTCGTCCGTGCTGCACACGGGGACGCGCGCGCAGGGAGGGGTGAGCGAGAGGGCGAGCGAACGGGCGAGCGGGAAGGCGAGCGGGCGGGCAGGTGGGTGAGAAAGCGGGGAGTGAGCGGAAGGGTGAGTGTGCGGGTAGATGAGCGAGCGGGTGAGCAGTAACGTGAGTAGGAGAGTGAGCGAGCGGGTGAGTGAGCGGAAGAGTGGGTGAGTAGGCGGGTGAGCAGGAGTGTGAGCGGGCGCGTGAGTGGGAGGGCAGGTGAACGAGTTGGCGGGTGAGCCAGTGAGCGGGTGAGCGAGCGGGTGGGCAGTTGAGCGAGTGGGCGGGTGAGCAGGAAGGAGGGTGAGCGGGAGGCGGTACCTGGCCCTGCCACGTGAGCCCAGCTTGCTGTGCTCGTCATCCCCGCGCTCGTTCTCGTCGCGCTCTGCCTCGTCCTCCGACTTCACGTCCACGCTGCTGCTGCCCGCGCTCAGTAGCCCTGGGGTGCACGCACGTGACACCGCACCGCCTCGTTACGCAAACGCGTGACGCAGGATCACGACTCACCACACACACCTCACCACAAAGACAAGGATCCCCCCTGTAGCCTTAATACATTGTTGGGGAAAGTATTGCCAGCGGGCAGCACTTAATGTCAGTGAGCGGGCGGCATTAGCTGTGGCCGGGAAGAGCACGCAGGTTCCCGGGTTCATAGCGCAGTACAATAACGTCTACGTCACCTTCCGTGAGAATTATTTTATTATCTTTTATTTTTATTATTTTATTATTTCCCTTCTACGTGACTTTACCCAAAGAAACAAGAAGATATGTCACCTTTCTTGACGTATTCACACCTTACCACAACAACCGACATTCGCCACTACATGCCGGTGACGTCACCGCAGAGCCCGTGCCAGGCTAGGTGCTCTTTGAGACCATGTGAGGCGTGTAAGGCTCGCTGGCAGGCGTCAGCACAGACCCAGGTGTTGTGGGTCAACTAATTGAGATGATTGGCCAGATGCACCAGCCGTGCTCCCACGCTGTGCCACCTTTTGACACACGGGGCAAAGCCTAGAAGCCCCCGTGAGGACGCATCACACCTCTGTAGCTGTCGGTAATGGATGAGAGATCCGGCGCCGACCCCGACATCGACTCCGCCACGGCCTGGTGCGCCCGGTGCAGCCCCACGGCCTCATCACGGCGGCTCCCGGCCTGCGCACGACAACACGAGACAGCGGCCACAAGGAGGGGAGGGGGGGTCAGCGAGTGTTGAATTCTCACCGGATTTGACGCCACTGCCACCTCCGCCGCAATCGTGGCTGTGATGTCGGTGCGAACACACGGTGGCGCTGTGCCACCGCGCATGGCACCGGCGAGGGCTCCGGCGGAGCTAAAAAAAGGGGAGAAAAACCGTGGACCGAGGCCGTTTAATTCGCGCCGATCAACCTGCCACCTCCAACGAGTTTCACGTGGAGGCAGCGTTTTTAATGCGGTAGTCAAGTGTTTTATTTTTGTTACAAACGATGGCAACTTCACAGCGGGGGCTGGGTTGGTGGTTTACCTCCCAGTCCAGGAGAACGAACGTACATCTCAATCAACCGAGGAGCTACAGGAATGGGGCGCTTTGGAAACACCGAACGCCAAGTGTCTGTGCACCGAGTCGGTGTCTTTGACGCGTCTCACAATGCAACGGTGCAGGTTGCCTTGCGCACATGCACACACAAACAAAGATCCCCCGTATAGCCTTAACAGACTGTAGGGGCAAGTGCTGTTAGCGTGCACCTATGAAGGCCGGAACGGTACACGAGGGGGGTGGATGGCCAGCACCACGCCCGACCGCCTTTGTCTCCCCAGTGGCGATATTTACACACCGCACCAGGTACTCATTTAAGGCTGAGTCGACCTAGGGGAGGCCCGGGACCGGTTCAGATAATCGCCAGTGGTGTTGGCCGTGAGCGGGAATCAAACTCGGGTCACCAGGTTCATAGGGCAGCGCGCTTAACCGCTACACTACCGCTCCCTACGCACACATACACACAGGCAGCAACATGCACACGTGCATACACGCATGGAAACGCACACGCTGCGAAACACGCACGCACGCACACGTGCATAGCACGCGCCCATGTACGCAGACGCACGCGTGCACACCAGGCACAATAAATTTCCAATCAGTCGAAGCATCGCCCGCACTCGGCTGGAGAACACGGTGAGATCCTGCGGATGCAATTAGCAAAGTTCGTTAATATGTAATTAAAATGTAATTAGAATGCAGGCCCAACACAATGAATATTATATGTCACTTTTCACGTGTTCTGCTGGTAGCGCAGTTGCGTGCCTCCCTCCCTCCCCAACAGCGCCCGCAAAACACACGATGCGCACCTCGCATGTAATTAAACATGCAAATGAGACGGCTAATTAGTGCGCTCTGCAGCAAACAAAAAACGTCTCCGGCGAATTAACCCCGGCGATGGGAGCCCAACCACCGACCCCCACGTCCCGTTCGCCCCCTCCACGCCCGCCCACCGGAGTCCTGCTCCGTCCATGGGAGAGTAGCGAGGGAGGTGTTGCAAGTTCCAACGGACCGGGCCCCAAAGGGGATTCGTCAGCGAGAAGCAGGGGAGATTGTCCCGGTTAGGAGACGTTGGGGAGCCCTTCACCCAGGCACCATTCGCCCCCAAAGTCGCCGCTCCCCAACTCGCCGCTTCTCCAGCCAGGTCCGACTCAGGTGACGTACACGTTTTTGGTGGAAGAACACAACGTACCTTGCTGATCTCGTCAAGGAGCATCAACCATCACGTGAACTCCGGTCATCCTCGCAGTGGCGGCTTTTGGCTCGTCATCGAACAAAGGCGGTCACCGCAACGCGCGCTTTCAGATGCGCTTCGGCGGCCGTCTGGAAAGCTCTTCCTTCCGATATTAGTATGCCACTGTAGCTATGCACTTTTAAATCTAGATTATAAACTAATTTCTTTAAAACTGCTTTTTGTGTTTAGTTTGTTGTCCTTCCCCCGCACCTCCGATTAGCATGGCTGGCTACATACGGTGCGAAAGAAGTTCAACATTAATATGTACATACAACAGCGGTGTAGTCCACAACCTGTGTCTGTGCGGGGGCAACCGCCAACGTAGAGTTAAAACCCACACGGGCTCTCGAGCGATACCGACGCTAAATCCGACACGATACGAGGGCAAGTGTTGACGTTAAACCCTAATTGATCTGCTGGCAATTACCGGAGACTTTAAGCTGATCCCGGTGTGAACCCAGCCTCCCTGAGGTTAATGGAGCCCAAGCACTAAACCAGCTCGGGACTAAGCCAGCCCTGGTACTGAATCAGGCCTAGCACTAAGACAGCCCTGGTACTAGATCAGGCCTAGCACTAAGCCAGCCCTGGTACTAGATCAGGTCTAGCACTAAGACAGCCCTGGTACTAGATCAGGTCTAGCACTAAGAAAGCCCTGGTACTAGATCAGGCCTAGCACTGAGACAGCCTTGGTACTAGATCAGGCCTAGCACTAAGACAGCCCTGGTACTAGATCAGGTCTAGCACTAAGACAGCCCTGGTACTAGATCAGGTCTAGCACTAAGACAGCCCTGGTACTAGATCAGGTCTAGCACTAAGAAAGCCCTGGTACTAGATCAGGCCTAGCACTGAGACAGCCTTGGTACTAGATCAGGCCTAGCACTAAGACAGCCCTGGTACTAGATCAGGCCTAGCACTGAGACAGCTCTGGTACTAGATCAGGCCTAGCACTAAGCCAGCCCTGGTACTAGATCAGGTCTAGCACTAAGAAAGCCCTGGTACTAGATCAGGCCTAGCACTAAGACAGCCCTGGTACTAGATCAGGCCTAGCACTGAGACAGCCCTGGTACTAGATCAGGCCTAGCACTAAGCCAGCCCTGGTACTAGATCAGGTCTAGCACTAAGAAAGCCCTGGTACTAGATCAGGCCTAGCACTAAGACAGCCCTGGTACTAGATCAGGTCTAGCACTAAGAAAGCCCTGGTACTAGATCAGGCCTAGCACTAAGACAGCCCTGGTACTAGATCAGGCCTAGCACTGAGACAGCCCTGGTACTAGATCAGGCCTAGCACTAAGACAGCCCTGGTACTAGATCAGGCCTAGCACTAAGCCAGGCCTGGTACTAGATCAGGCCTAGCACTAAGAAAGCCCTGGTACTAGATCAGGCCTAGCACTAAGACAGCCCTGGTACTAGATCAGGTCTAGCACTAAGAAAGCCCTGGTACTAGACCAGGCCTAGCACTAAGACAGCCCTGGTACTAGATCAGGTCTAGCACTAAGAAAGCCCTGGTACTAGATCAGGCCTAGCACTAAGACAGCCCTGGTACTAGATCAGGCCTAGCACTGAGACAGCCCTGGTACTAAATCAGGTCTAGCACTAAGAAAGCCCTGGTACTAGATCAGGCCTAGCACTAAGCCAGGCCTGGTACTAGATCAGGCCTAGCACTAAGAAAGCCCTGGCACTAGATCAGGCCTAGCACTAAGACAGCCCTGGTACTAGATCAGGTCTAGCACTAAGAAAGCCCTGGTACTAGATCAGGCCTAGCACTAAGACAGCCCTGGTACTAGATCAGGTCTAGCACTAAGAAAGCCCTGGTACTAGATCAGGCCTAGCACTAAGCCAGGCCTGGTACTAGATCAGGCCTCGCATTAAGCCAGCCCTGGTGCTGAATCAGGCCTAGCACTAAGACAGCCCTGGCATTAAACCAGCCACATGCTAAACCAGTCTTGGTACTAAAACCAACCATGGCAGTAGACCAGCCATATGCTCTACCAGCCCTAGCATTAAATCAGCCCTGGCCCTAATTCAGCCCCGTACTATACTAGCAATGGCACAAGACCAGCCTTATTCTCATCCACTCCCATGCCAAACTAGCCCCACGGTAATCCGGTCCATCTGAGAGACGGAGTCCACAGAAGAAGGCGAGAATGAGTGAACGGGAGAGCCACAAAAGCCATGGTTGAGTGGAGGGCTGCTCACCTTGAGCGTTCCCTGCTAAGATTCTTTATGAGGAATTTTCCAAACGAAGAAGGCGAGAGGTCAATCTGAGAGACGGAGTCCACGGAAGAAGGCGAGAATGAGTGAACGGGAGAGCCACAGAAGCCATGGTTGAGTGTAGGGCTGCTCACCCTGAGCGCTAAGATGCTTTATGAGGAATTTGCCAAACGAGGAAGGCGAGAGGTCAATCTGAGAGCCGGAGTCCACGGAAGAAGGCGAGACAGAGTGAACGGGGGAGCCACAGAAGCGATGGTTGAGTGTAGGGCTGCTCACCCTGAGTGTTCACCGCTAAGATGCTTTATGAGGAATTTGCCAAACGAGGAAGGCGAGAGAGAGAGAGGGAGGGAGCCCCATCGGAGGTCACCTTTGCAGCCCGCGCGGTGTTTACTCATCTAAAGAGATTAATTTACTTTTAACAAAAGGATGCTAAATGTCACTACCCACAACAGCGCAGAGTGCTGGTGGTGGGTGTGTGGGTGGAGGGGGGAAGGGGTTGTCGAAACAAATTTTCCGCTCGTCTTTTCAATCAGAAAAAAACCTCTCTGTGGTTAAATTACGGTAAATAAACGGCGCGCGGGCCGCACGGTTGCCCGTGGTGCAGCGTCACCTGCAGGCCCCTTTCGCGTGCTCCCAACCGCACGCGACGCGAGAGCGGCTCCTTTATTTAACCCTTCCTCACGGAAACCCAACCGCAATACGAATTGCTCCTGCATGGACCTGGCAAGGAGTGCGTGGAAAAGATGCGCCCAATGCACGCTACTAAGGGCCAAACTGCGCCCGGGCAAATCCCACGATTTTGCACATTTTAAAGATGTGGATAATTCGTTGGTAACGTGATGTGCCTCTTTACTTGGGCATTGTACGTCAAGAAGTTGAGACCTCTGTAGTTCTCAGAGAAATAACCTTTTTGTATGAGAGAGAAATACTCACAAATTATGGTGGTGGCAGACATACTCAGACAAACTGATTTTTTTTAATCCATGCTGGGATGATGATGACGGTGCACTCAATCAGATTTTACAGAATTTATCGTCAGATTTTCACGTGACTTTTAAAAATCCGTAATCTAGGCCGCGTACTTTTCCACATGCCGCGTAACAGTAAATTTGATATTTTTAATGTTTTTTTTGGCGCAGTCATTGGCGATTGGGCTGAAACCATCAACTCGCTACACTGGAACACCCGATTAAATCACAGGTGGCTCAGCCCGGATGCCCTCATTCAGTTCCATAATTTTGGAGGGTGCATTACGCCTGGCTTGTTTTACGTTAAATCTTGTTCCTCCCTCCTTGTGAAATTCTCACTCTATTCTGGGTTCATTAATGATGATAAAATTGCGTACAAACAAAAGTCGCAGGTGGCTGAAACCCAGCCGTCAGCAGTGCCACTTCTAGTTCTCTGTCGTCCCCTGCACCGACCAGGTAACCTCAATGCAACGTTTGGTGCTGCATCTCTCTTCAAAACCTCCCTTATGCAACATGGCATCGACTCAACGTTGAACACAACACCGGCGCAGAGGAAGGAAAGAGAACATCACCGCACACGCTCCCATCCCAGTGGGGGCAGAATGACTCGGAGAGAAGTGATCACACGCAAGGCCAAGCTGCACTCCATTAAGGAATATCGCACAAATAACAAATGATTTTGGTGAGCAGGCAAAGCTGTCCAATAACTGCTAAATCTGCCGTTTTCATAATTTCCATTTTGCCGCAACGCAGCGTTCCAAGCAAAACACAGGGAATGAGCCTGCCAGAGACTCGTGCAGAACGCCTTCCCAGCTGCACCACCAATTCCTTACCGCACATAAATCACTGCCGAACTGCGAGCCCTGCTGCACCGATGTGCCTGCTGCACGCAGATAACCACTGCACCCCGTTTTCTGCTGTGCACGCATCCCAAATGCATACGATTCACTGCTGCATTCAGATACCTTCGGGCACGTGATTCCCCGCTGCACTATGAGCGACACTGCACTATTACCTCCGCTGCACATTCATCTCTGCTACACACCAGATGGCCGTTCCACATCGACTACTTACTTCACAAAAAAGTCTGCTGCACATAAATCGCTGTCGCACAGGGAGGCATGCTGCACAAATTACTGTTGCACACAGAAACCTGCATCCCTATCTCTCACGTGCACAAAATCACTGACACACGAGGATAACTCCTGTACTATTATGAATGCTGCACTTGGATGCTGGCTGCACGTGGGTCCCTGCTGCAAACGCATCCTTAGGGGCCATCCATTTAGTACGTACGCATGGAGGGGAGTGGGGGGGGTTAACCCAAATGCGTACGCTTGCGTATGGGGGGGTCTACTGACAATGTACGCATAGGAAACGGGGGATGAAGCCTCGATAATAATTTGACTACATTGGCCTTCAAATTAGTTAGTCCGGCGGTGGACTATCTGTTTGCTTAAACAGACGAATATTATGAATCCTTGATCGCTTCTGCGTGGATTAAATATCGGCCGTTCTATAGGATTCGGGGGGGGGGGGGTGGTGTAAAAAGTACGCCATACAGGGAGGGGGCGGGTCAAGTTTTGACAGATTTTTGCGTACCTACTAAATGGATGGCCCCTTACTGCACAAGTACCTTCCGCAGATTCCTGATGCACTATCATGCTTACTACTGCACACAGATGCCTGCTGCAAAATCTGCAACCTCTGCACCCGTCGCAGGCGGCTACAATCAGCTATGCTCACGAGAAATGCGCATGCACACACACAAACATATAATTGGCACTGCACACACATAGACCAACATGAGCCTAACCGCATATAAATACTCATAAACACACAGACACACATGGCATGCGCGCTGCACACAGCCAGACACGCACCAAAACAAAACAAGAGAGAGCCAGATGAATACACACGCATGCACACACAGACAAAGATCCCACCCCCCTCCACGTATAGCCTTCACAGACTAGGAGGAGCAAGTGCTTTTAGCGAGCACCTATGAATGCCGGCACGGCACACCAGGGGGTGGGTGGCCAGCAATCACGCCCAGTCACCTTTGTATCCTCAGTGGCGATGTTTACACACCGCACCAGGTACTCATTTGAGGTTGAGTCGACCTAGGGGAGGCCCAGGACCGGTTCAGATCATCATCACTGGTGTTGACCAGTGATGATGATCATAGCACGCTGCGCTAACCCACTACACAAACGCTCCTTCACATGCATGCAAACGCGCACTCACACACGCACGCACTCACACATGCACACACGTGTGTGCACGCACACGCACCACCCGACACACCATAACATGTGTGCTCGCACCGACGAACGTACACCCCCCCCCATCCTCCCCACACATCCCCAGCCCTGCCTGCAAGGGGCCATGGCAGCTGGAATGGCCATCGCTGCACTGCACAGCAGAGGAGCGCTCGGGTTTCAGCAGCAGCAGAATTCCAGAGGCAGGTGCAGCCCCCAGCCCCCAGCCCCCTGCCGCAGCAGCAGCAGCCACGCAGCCACCACCCAGCCACACGTCCCTCCCGAGCAACTCAGACTGCACCGCCAAAGTCACGAGTGTAATGGCAAACATTCCGGCGCTGATATTTTCTAGCCACATTCGAGTCACAATTAGTTCGGGGTCTTTGTTTCGTTTTTTTGTCAAATTCAAATCGCAGAACGATGGGGGGTGCGGCAGACGCCAGGTGAGCTGGGCCGGCAGCTGAAGGGCCCACGTGAGGGATGAAATCACGAGGACGTTAACACCAGCACACTACCACCAGCAGCACGCTACCAGCAGCACCACGCTACCAGCAGCACCACGCTACCAGCAGCACCACGCTATCAGCAGCACCACGCTACCAGCAGCACCACGCTACCAGCAGCACCACGCTACCAGCAGCACCACGCTACCACCAGCACCACGCTGCCAGCAGCACCACGCTGCCAGCAGCACCACGCTACCACCAGCACCACGCTACCACCACCAGCAGCACCACGCTACCACCAGCAGCACCACGCTACCACCAGCACCACGCTACCACCACCAGCAGCACCACGCTACCACCAGCAGCACCACGCTACCAACAGCACCACGCTACCACCAGTAGCACCACGCTACCACCAGTAGCACGCTACCAGCAGCACGCTACCACCGGGACATGCACCACCTCTACACGGTGGCAGCAGTACGTCTTCGCAAAGGCAAGGGGCGTAGTAGGTGGTAACGTGCTGGTAGTAGGTGTCATCCAGTCTACGCCGCGCTGAGGCGTGGAAAGGTTTTGCACGCAGATGATAAACAAAGAGGGGGGGGAGGTTAAAGCCCAGGTGAAGGAATGAAATGGGGGCAGTGCGTGACAACGTGGCCTGGGAAGGGGGTGGGTGGGCGGAGAGGGGGATTGTGGTGGGGAGGGGGTAAGAGAAGGGGGTGGGAGGAGGGTGGGAGGGGGGTGGGAGGGGGGTGGGAGGGGGGGGGAAGAGAGGGGGTGGGAGGGGGGAAGAAATGGGGGTGGGAGGGGAGGGGGAAAGGGAGGGGGTGGGAGGGGAGGGGGAAAGAGAGGGTGGGAGGGGGGAAGAGAGGGGGGTGGGAAGAGGAGGGGGTGGGAGGAGGAGGGTGGGAGGAGGAGGGGGGTGGGGGGAGGAGGAGGAGGGGTGGGAGGAGAAGGGGGGTGGAAGGGGGATGGGAGGAGAAGGGAGGTGGGGGGGGAGGAGGAGGGGGGTGGGGGGAGGAGGAGGAGGGGGGGTGGGGGGAGGAGGAGGGGGGGGGGCTCTTCCCAGGCGCTGAGGGTGGAGTGGGGGGTGGACGCGAGTTTGGGCCGTGGTGGGCCCTCAAGGCTTTTGCTGTTGGGCTGCAGCCCCAACCCGTGGCTGTGGCGCATATCAAGTTCCCCTCTCGCTGCCAGCGCCGACGCTCAGGCCCTGATTGGGCCCAGCTGCGGGCGTGAGTTGTGTGGGAACGAAGTTGAGGGGAGGGGGCCGGCGGTCCGCTCGGAGGCCCCCACCTCCGCCGAGTCGCCGGCCCCGTCTGGATTTTGGGTTGAAAAAAAACCGCGTTAATGAAACGTGTTTTGTTTAGCCAGCGACAAGCGGGCGATTTGAACTCGGCTTGATTTAACGCGATTCAGAGTTTGCTTTTTCCGACGCGGTTTAAGGTTTCATTTGGCGTGTTATGCGGTTGCTAAAGTTGCGTTGATTTAAGGTACTTAAACACTTTTATTCTTCACCCTTTTAAATCTTGTTAAAGTTTCATCGTGATGCGCAGTGTTTGGAAGCTGAATTTGGCACCATGACAGTTTTATAATTTTAGTCTGTGGATATATATTTCATGACTGCAGACAGTCTTAAAAAGTGACATTAAAGATTAATAAAACAAAGTTGAAGCCATCTTCTTAATGTCTCTTAACAGATTCCTTTCCCAGTCTCCAACAGCAGCGAATGAGAGGATACAGAGCCCTGGTACAAAACCACCATAGGGATCACGGGGACTACGGGATAAAAGGGTAACGTGATGATAACTAGGCGCGGAACCATTCACTCCTCTGGCAATTCGAGTGTCATGTATCAAGGTGTCGATTGTATTCAAGATTTTTTTTGTAAACATCCATATTTATGGAATACGGTGAAAGTAGCAGCCTCTAGTGGCTGCAGGCAGATCGTGTGAACCAATGACATACAACAAATATGAATCGGAAAAATATAAAAATGTACACCTCAAAATTTGGTTAACGCCCTGAGTCTAAGAATCGAGGTAACTCAACGGATTCATCATTCCACCACAAGTGGTAAATTACTCGTATGATTAGAGGAGCTGTAGAGAACTTTGTATATAAACCGGTGACGATCGCTCACCATGCCGGCGTGCTTGCCAGATGACATCCCGGCGGAGGCCCCGCCACCCCGGTACGCAGGCCCCAGGCCGCCGGGCCCACCGGACCCAGCCGCCCCTGCGGGCCCGGACAAGGGCGGCCCTCCCAGCATGCCATGCAGCTCGGCGGACGGTGGGAGGCCCACAGCGTGGTGCCGCAGAACGTGGATGGCGTCGTCCAGCCGGTCCAGGCGCTCTTCCATGGGGCCCTGTGGCACGTGGGGGGGGGGCGGGTTGGCACGGGGGGGGGGGGGGGAGAGGTGGAATACACCATGGGTTTCTTCCATTAAGGCAGGGGTGTCCAAACTTTTTGCAAAGAGGGCCACATTTGATACAGTGATGATGCCCGGGGGCCAATCGTTCCTTTTGACATTGTTTTAACCACAAAAGTTGCGTGGAAATACACACTGTTATAAAACAATGTCATTGTCACAATTACCTTTATTTTTCAAATGACAATGTAACCAAATATAAGCCACTCAGGCAGACGGGATCAACTCTAAAAACGCAATTCTGCCTTTCACTCAGTCAGGTAACATTGAACAAACTATATAGAATACCTTAAATTTCCATGAATTTTATGATGTATTTATTCTGACAGAGCTGGCGAGCCATAAATAACACGTTAAAAGACCGAAGCTGCGGGCCATATGAAATCTGCCCGCGGGCCAATCACGGCCCGAGGGCCGGACTTTGGACATGCCTGCATTAAGGCATGGGAGCTGTCAGTGAGTTCAAGTGCCGGAATGTGTGGCAGGATCTGCTGCATGTGATTGTGAGCATGTGATTGCCTCCCCAATGAGTGTCAATATTTGTTAAAATGTGATTGGCTTGCCCAGTGAGTACCAGTATCTGGCATCGAGTTCATTATGGCTTCTGGTCTATGATAATAGAATGTGATTTCATCTCAAGTCAATGCAATTCAAGTGCCTGGAATGTGTGGCAGGATCTGCTGCGTGTGATTGTGAGCATGTGATTGCCTCCCCAATGAGTATCAATATTTGCTTAAGATGTGATTTGCTTGCCCAGTGAGTACCAGTATCTGGCATCGAGTTCATTATGGCTTCTGGTCTATGATAATAGAATGTGATTTCTTCTCAAGTCAATGCAATTCATCTGGTGTGTGAAAATGGAACGTAATTAGTTCCCTACCGAGTCCCAGTACCTGGTGTGCGATAATAGGACGTTACTCCCAAAACCTGGTTGTATGTTCATGCTAGAATGCGGTAGGTCCCCCTGCTGTCAATCTTACTTCCCCCAATCAGCCCTAGTACTCACTGTATGCTGGTAGGTGACAAGCCACGACCTATGAGCCCGTCAAAAAGTAACTTAGGACGTGTGAATCCCAATTTGTACTCGCACTCCTTACAGATGGGAGTCAAGAATCCATTGCTCTACTGCCGTCTACTGGCCACCTGACGTGGAAGGGCAACGCAGTGGAACAGCAATGGAATGCTTTACGATGGTGGAAGATCTTCTGGGACACTGTGAGCGCTGAGTGAGGGGGGGAGCGGCGAGGCCCGTTACTTGGGCTAGCTGGACCGCATGGCCCCATCTCGTTTGCAACCTTTCTTATAAGGGCCCCGTGTGGATGATTGCGAGATCCCCGCACCTCACAGATGTCCTTGAGGAAGCAGGCCGCATCCTGTAGCGCCTGGTGGATCTGTCCGTCCGTGCTGGCCTTCTGCTGGCGAGGCTGGCAACGCGAGGACACGGGGACGCACGCACGCAGGGAGAAAAGTCAAAGACACAAGCATGCAAAAATCGTAAACAGACACACACAGACACATCCAGAGCCAAATCCACACAGGTAGACACGCAACAAAGATCCCCGTATAGCCTTTAATGGACTGTAGGAGCAAGTGCTGTTAACGAGCACCTATGAAGGCCGGCACGGCACACGTGGGGGTGGGTGAAAAGCACCACACCGGGCTGCCTAGTGGCGATGATTACACACCGTACCAAGTATTCATTTTAGGCTGAATCCACCTAGGGGAGGGCCAGGACCCACTTTGCACACACCCGTGCTAGTCACACTCCCATGGGCAGACAGACAAAATCGAACACACTCAGACTCAAGGCAAGACACATTCAGGTACACTGAGACATAATGACACATCTATAACAGTCCAACCACAGGTACATTTACGTAATAAAAGCCCTCCAACTATCAGCTCAACCCCCCACTTAAGCACCCCACAGGTCACCTCCCCTTAAAACAAGCAGGAGTTGTGGCCTCCCCCAGTCGCACTGCGGTGACTGCGGGGAGGCGGGGGGAAGTGTGTCAGGGGAAGTCGCGGGGGGCGGTGGGGGGGGGGGGCTCCGTGCCCACCGCACACCGTCTTGGTGGTCACCGGGCTCTCACCAGCGAGCAGACGGTGCCCTTGTACGCGGGGGAAGTTGAACTCTGCCCCACCGACCGACACCAGGGGGACGTGCCTGCGCTGCGCCCTACACACACCGCACCACGCAACACAAAGACAAAGATCCCCCGCGTATAGCCTTTAACAGATTGTTGGAGCAAGTGCTGTTAGCGAGCAACGATGAAGGCCGGCTCGGCGCACGAGGGGGTGAATGGCCAACACCACGCCCTGCCGCCTTAGGTCTCCCGAGTGCCAAAGTTTACACACAGCACCATGCACTCATTTGAGGAGGCCGAGTTGGCCTAAGAGAGGCCCAGGACCATTTCAGATAATCGTCACTAGCGTTGGCCATGAGCGATAAGTTTACCGCTACACTGCCGCTCCCCATCCTGCACACACACGTGCACGCAAGCGGGCACAGCAGCGAGACCTTGTTACTTCCCTGCCGTGGCTGTCCTCAACCCCACCCGCAACCACGGCGATCAAGAGGAGGCATCCCACAAGGCCGTGCGGTGTGGAGGAGACAAGCCACTAGGGCTGGGAAATGGGAGGCTGAGGCCACCTGCTCACAACCCGGAAAGAAGTGTGTGTGACTGGAGAAGTGATGCCCCGGATAGTGCCTGTATAGGTGTGAAAGGGAGAGAGGCTCAAAAGTTAGTCGATTGAGATAAAGTGTCAATTATTTTTTCACTTTTTTTTTTTACAAAATATTTTTTAACTGGAAATCCCATGACATTAACATTACATTTGCAAGGGTGTCCAGGGTTAGGGCCATTCTGTATAACACAATTTGTATTCCACCATTGAAACCTCCTTTGCCATCTGGTCCAACACCATGTGAGACTAGGCTCTAAGAAAAGCTGTCTCTCGGGTGTGGACCAATCAATTTCAAGGACAGTGCATACATTATCAGAGTTGTGTTTTTTGTTTGCATTCCGACCACAGGTATTGTGGTCAATGCAAACATGACTCCTTGTAAAAAAAAAAGGCGTCAGTTTGGTTGCCAGATAAAAGGGTAAAAAAACAATCATCATAAACGATTTGTATTTATAAAGCATCCGAACGTGACGTATCTTATTAAGCTTTACGCAACATGTGTGCGTCTGGAAAGACTGAAAAAGAGAGGGTTTGTTATTTTGTATTTTTAGAGCAGGGAATGGTGGGTCGAATTCTTCAGGCCAGAGAGTTAATAAAGAGACGGCATCACGGTAGAAGTGCGCATGGATACATTTCATAGAGAGGGAGACAGTCGGTTCGCATGCAGAAGGGAAAAGTCTTGAGTGTGGATTTGAACGCACAAATAATATCTCAGTGACTGAGACTTCTAGAGAACGATAATTCCAGGCTAGTGGCTGCTGCAGCAGCACTACAATGAGTGGACCTCCAATCAATCAAGTGAAGGTGGATTAACGGTTTTGGCAACAGGCCTCCGTTACTGAAACAGAAGCAAGGTGAAGAGGAATAAGAGCGCGGTGAGAGGGGAGAGGGAGGAGAGCACGAGGGGGGGAGGAGCAGTGAGATGAGAGAGTTAGAAGAGTGCATTGATGGGAATTAGCGAGAAGGGGGAGAAAGAGGAGTGCGTGGAGGGGAGTAGAAGTGAGATAACAGGGGAGAGGCAGGAGAGTGTGTGGTGGGGAGTACAGTGAGATGAAAGAGGGGAGGCGGGGGAAAAATCCACGGGCGATGTTGTCGACGGTGCGTATGACCTTGTAGCCCGTCGCGAGATTGAATCAGGAACCAGTCAAGAGATCACAGAACTAGGGTCCTTACAGGTAACAGACACACAGGATCACTGACATGGGCGCCGTTTCAAAGTGGCACGGCGTCCGTGTTTTCTTATGGGATGCGGCAGATGCCGGCAGCTACCGAGGCCACCAGAATTAGCAGCAGGGGACCACAAGCCTCCGGGCGAGCGCCGATAGCGGCTTATCAGCGCCGGCGGCTCCTTGTCACTTCCTCGAGCAGCCACAGATGAGTTTCCATCGGGAATTAGCGCTGTCTAATCGTTGCGGCGAGCGTGCGCATACGCACTGCCGCCCACGCTCACGAGTTACCGCTGCCGCCACTGCTGCCATTTCAATTTAGCCGTTAGGGCCGCCCCCTCCCCTCCTCCTCCGAGTTGAATTCCCGCAGGGGAAACTCGTCGCTGTTCCCTCGAGGCCTATCGCGCGGCGTGGTGACGGCGTCACCGAGACCCCCCCCCCCGGCTGGCTGTCAGTGGTAAAGGGGGGGGGGGGCGGCTTGGTCTGGCTCACCTGTGGCGGGTGGGGAGGCGCTGGACGGCGTGGCGGGGTTGGAAGGAAATCCGCTGCTGGTGTGGTCTGGCGAATAAATCTGAAAAACAGCACGTCCAGCAGGCGAACGCGGGGTGACACCCCGACGATCGAATCGTCAAGATCTCATGAAGTCTGAAGATCACAATGCGTGTGTAAGAATCCATAGATGCGGATATGTTGCATGTGCCTGGCTTCTTGTGACCCCTGCGGCCACAAGAGTCTGATACATTCACCAGAACGTGAATCACGATTCTATGAATCGAGGGGTGTCACGGAAAAACGTGGTACCTTGTACGGATATTTTTTGATAACCCCAACATTGAAACACTGGAAAATCTACATTTGAACAGTGGTGGGCCATGTACTTTACGCCTAGGCCTTCAGTGCTATCCTCCCGCAATTAAACGGCCTTCAAATAACCTCACCATGACACTAGAGCTATAGGCTATTGTCATTCGACGTAACCACCCCATATTCAGTGACAGTAACCTTTATAGAGTGGAATAAAGTTATTTGACACGAGGCTCAACACCTATGAGAGTTACATACACTAATTGCAGAGACATGAATACATGGTGACTGAAACCATCAATGATGTACCACTATTACGCAGTATGACAGCATGCTGCATCACAAATAGACATCGCATAGCCCAAATCAATGTCATTAACAAAGAAAGAAGAACAAACTCACAACAACCAGTCACATTTACTCATACGACCACCAAAGCAAGCAAAACTGCCGTAAAACACAAATAACACAATCAAGATTCAACAGGCTTCCCCACAAAAAAATCGAAAGCACTACATCTGAAAATCTAAACGTCACAAAAGAGAGTTTAAATGCATCTTAGATGATGCTACGTTACGTGCTAGCTAGTTTTACTTCAGTTAGCTAACTGGCCCTCTGATCACACCACACGAGAAATGCTGACGTAGGCGGCTAGGCCAGCTAGAAGGCTCCGGCGTGTCAGAGGATACGCTCAACACGGCAAACTCGACATCTGATTGGTTAAAGAAGATGACAATCAACAACGTCATCTCCATTTGCTTCAACAGCAGAGGGGATCCACTCGACATTCTGAAGGCCTCAGGGTAGATTTTTCACCCGGAGAGGCGGAGACAGCACAGGTGGAAAATCTGATTGGATAAAAGCTCTAATTTATGAGCTGCACTGGAAGCAACGCAACTGAGGGAGAGAGAGAGTAGCAATGAAATGACGTTAATAAGACTGATGGGAACGAACTTTGTAAGCATTAATAAAATCTATATTAAATTAAAAAAATATAATTTTCTGATTCTGAAATTTCTGGGCCAGCAGAGAAGGCCTTGCTGGCCTTGACGGCCCACTTCTGCATTTGAAGTCTTTATTTTCTCATCTCCCCCTACAATTAGCTGCACAATCAATGGAAACAACTCACTTTCTCCAACCACTGAATCCACCTACTCTCAACAAAAACCTTACTACTCTCTTTGACAATTCACTTTCACGGGTTATCAAGTATATATTTTTTTCAGGGCATCCCACAAGTGATATACCCACACCGCACTGGTAATCACCACATCGTCCCCAGAGTCCCGGCTGTGTCACATGTGGAGGATTCTGGGCCGAGGCTGCTGCCCCACCACGCCAATGCTCAACTCCAGACGGATGAACAAGGCGAGTCTCGAGTTCTTTGAGTCTCGAGTTCTTTGAGGCCGCTCATGACACCCCCAACCCCCACCGCTCTTACTCTTAGTTTTTTCGGTAAAGTCACGTAGGTAAAAAATGAAATTAAAATTAATAAAAATAAAATAATAAAACTCACGACGTTTCGGAGGCAACACAAGTCTCCGTCATCAGGTGGGACCGTCACAGCCAGATTTGCTGTATCAAGTGAGGCAGGGATTATTTTATTATTTTATTTTTATGAATTTTAATTAATTTTTTACCTACGTGACTTTACCGAAAAAATCCTTGCAGTCACGAAAGCTTCAAATCTAGAATTAAAACCCCACCTCTCTCTCTACCTGTACTGCGGCGTGGCACCTGCACCCAGCCACAACCGCGTGCATTCTCTCGACGGGAGCGAACGGGGGGGCCGCGCCGCTCTCACATTAACCCAGCCGGGCTCGAGAGCGCCGCAAGTCATTCTGCCCGCAACAAACCGCACGCCACTGAGCCCCCCCCCCCCCCCGTATCGTAAAATAAAATTAAAAGCCGCAGCATGTGGAACAAATACACTTTTGTTCCACGAGCGTACCTTCATCTGTTTTAAACTCGGTACTTTGTCCCAACGTTTACAGGAAATAAAATGTAATAAATAAACTCGCTCGCATGCTCGCCCGCTCGGCCCCTTTCGCATCCCCCCCGGGAAGGGCAATAAACTCTGGCGTGCGGCTCCACGCTCGCCCCAATTTCCCTGGCCGTCGGTGAGCTCCGGCAGGGAGGCAGGTGCAGCGAGAGAGAGCGAGCACGAGAGAGAGCGAGCGATAGAGAGCGAGAGAGCGATGGAGAGCGCCGGCCAAATGGCCGCAACTCCGGGGATCTTGCCCACAGCAGCGTTAAATATTTGTAGCCTAAATTGGTGATGAGAATGTTCGTCAGCTAAGCGTCTGTTTACGTGATCTCAGCAGGTCCGGGAGACTCGATTGAGGCGTATGGGGTCGTGACGACCGACCGCTTCTCTCCACGAAATAAGTACGCCCACCGTTTCTGTGCAGCATCCTATGACGCAGACACATTTAGACGCTATATGAAGTCAAATCACAAATGTGTATAAATACACACACACACGCACAACACGGTTGTCTCAGTCACTTAATGTGTTGGTTCTGCGGTGGAATAAGCTGCTCAGTGTTAAATCTGTTCGCGAAATTAGTGACGAAAATATTTGCCAACCAAGTGTCAATGATTTTATGCTTGGGTCTTTCGGTAAAGCCACGTAGATAGGCACGCTAATCTCTCACAATACAATGGGCACCCCCACAGCTTCGTTAGTCAAGATTTACCCGATCTTATTACACAGACACGATTTCAACCGAGAAGATTGGTACAAACTGAGCAATCATTGGACGTTATTAACCAGTTTAGGTCATAACTGGCTGCGATATTCCCTCCGTACCTACCGATATTAGCAGTTCATTTCAACTCTCTGAGTTACATTCACTAACACAGCCACCGTTAGCTGTGTTAGTAAATGGCGGCTTGCCATCCTTTTGAAATCCTTTATATTAGGTTCACTTGCTTGCTTGCTTGCGCGCTTACGACCGTGCAAATCTTTCTGTCGTTTTTTAACCCACTTCCCGTGATCCATTCGAGCTGACATTTTGCACACAGACTCGTTGTGCGAGACAATTAATTTTCGTGAAATTTTTCTCTCCAAATTTTTACACTTTTTAGGAATTTTTTTAAATATTTAATTACCAATTGCTTAATGGTGGCAGGCAATCATCTGACCCATAGGTGGCAGCCATCTCAAGCCAGAGGACGAGAGGACTCTAGCCGCCACGCATATAAAGGATTTATAGTGAAAAACGTTGTTTTTACGGGTTCATTTTTTCACCTCCATGTGGCGATGCTCTTGCCGAAACTGCTAAAGCTATTGCTTACATTCATAAGCAAATCTCTTACATTGACACGCTAATCTCTCACAATACAGTGGCCACCCCCACAGCTTCGTTTGTCAAGATTTACCCAATCTTACATTTACATGCACATTTTTTCTCTAGCCCCTCCCACTGACCCTTGGGCTACATCCATCCCAAACCGTTACAACTCCCTGCCTTAGCAGCACTCCCACCATATATCTCAGCAGCTCTCCCACGATATTCTCACCTGATGACGATTGCTTGTGTTGCGATCGAAACGTCATGATATTGTTAGTATTTTTCTTATTATTTGATCTATCTACGTGGCTTTACCGAAAGACCCAAGAATATGAATTCCTGCAGTCACGAAAGCTTTAAGTCAAGATTTAAGTGTCAATAATTTTATTTTAATCAAAGATGAGTATGAAAATCAGCAGGTAAATGTTACTTATTTCAGCAGGAAGGGTCCAATAAGCTTGTAGGTTATATTTCATTGTCATTCTGCAACAAATTATAACTTCAAATATCCACCCAAGACTAGAGGATGACCGACAGCCTGGGTTCGAATCTGGTGTTCAGGCAGACACCTGCTTTAGACACGGTTCCCAAGCATAGCGAATTAATGGTCTCCAATAACTGCGCACAAATTGTCCATGACAAGATATGAGCTTTTTTTCACTTAATTGGAAAAATTTCCACGATGGGAATTAAAGTATCTATTTGAATGCCATGCGACAGATATTTCTTATTAGCAGGGCTTGTGGAGGAGTGCATGCAACACCCCGTTGCGAGGATAAAAGAGGTCACTTGAAGGGTTATTAGAGGTAATGCAGCGACGTTGGCTTCTGCGGACCAATCTCTAGTAGATGGGCCGACGCGCTGCTCTGCAAGTGTTCCGAATGGACACTTCGTTTCGTGACACTATGGCCACGACACAACTGGAACAAAATGATGAGAAGAAAAAAAAAAGTAAACAAACTAAATAAGGACTTAAGCGTCTCTGTGGGGACAATGGGGAATGACAAAAGTACAAAGGTGGATGGATGCCACTGATGGGAGCGTCCAAGGATGCAGAAACACCGGTTTGCAATGATCGCTCGCTCTCACAAGTCCATCCGTGGTGGCCACTCATGACCATCGCCAAGCCACGGCAAGGCACCCGTAACGTCGGACCTCAACGTGACCCCTCGCCGACTGCCAGGTCAAAGTGGGGGGGGGGGTGGCGGGGGCACGTGCAAAGAATAGACCCACGGGAAAAAAAGCTGGCAAGGCTGTATCCGCGTGGACAAAACACAGTTTCAACTCGAACGGTGGCACGGTCAAATCTGTTTAGAGTTAATTTCAAAACATGTTTATCTTTAGATACCTACCGAAGTTAAGCGAACGTTTCGACACAAACAAAATAGTTCGGCGGCCAAACCGACGGCACGTTGCATTCGGAGGCGTTATTCCGGCAGAGTGATTTTTTTTAAATAAATAAGGCCGCACT